TGGAGATTCAAGTAGAACTTCAAGTGGAGCTTCAAGTGGATTTTCTACTAGTAAAAAAGGTATGTACTATAATTCAAATACTACAAATATTTTTTAAGTATTTATATTATTTATATAATAATAATAGGGTAATAATTACATAAAATATTATAAAAAATGGTTAACAAAATTGACCAATTTGATAGAAGGAATATTTCAAAGTTTTTGAAATATTATGCATGGAAAATAGAATTGAATTGGATTTTTGAAAAGAAGATAATTGAGATATTTGGACTTATTATAATATTAGAAATAAGAAAATATATTAAATCAATTAGGGATCATTTTGGATATTTATGGGAGAAATTTCCACATGTATTAAAGAACAAATATTTTTTAAAGGATATCAATTAAATTACCAAGAAAAAATTTTTGGAATGGATTGAGTGGCTTAATAAGAATTAGTAAGCTATAGAGCTTTTGAGGGAATTTAAGAGGCTATATTTTTTATTATCAAAGATGGAAAAATTAATAATAGAGCCAAATAAGATTGAATTATTTCTTAAAGCTTCCAATGAAGAGTTATAAGAAATATTGGAATTTCTTCTTGAAGATAAAGAAGATGAAGAATTGACAACAAAATGAAAAAATGATATAGATGTCGTAGATTTACTTGTAAAATAAGAAAGAAAGATAGATAAGGTTAATATTTTAAGCATAATATATGCATCTAAAACTCAAGTATATATAATACAATTAAAAATGCTAATTGTTCAATCTCCAGCATCTATATCAATAAAAGAAGATATGAGAGTTGAAGAGATTATACGTGAGATGTAAGATTGTGAGGGTGAATTTTTTTTTCCATCCAAATTTCAAGATGGCCTTTATTAAGAGTTGATTGTAATTGATGATATAAAGTAGAAGTAGAAAGAACAAGAAAAAAAGAAGAACAATACAAAACAAGTAAACAAATGTAATCAAGCAATTATATACTATAAAACTAGTCATGGTTTATTTATTGGATTTTTATTTAATAAAAAGTAAAAATAAAAAGTAAAAAATATATATTTTTAGATAGATAATTCTTTTATCTTTTCAATGATATAAAAAAATATAAATCAAAGTTACTATGAATAAGTTATGATAGATTTAAGATAAAAGATAAACAATAGAAAAATAAAGTCAATAATTTTTATCTCAAGAATAACTTACTTTAAGAGATTAAGAATTCGAGCCTCACTAAGGCTCAGAAGTAGTATATATGGATTGTTAAGAGAGGCTACAAGGCCTCAATCTTATCTTCCTACCAATATCTAAGGTACTACAATCCATATGGGACTTATGCACTTCTTTTTCTATAAGGATTAAATTAGCTGTTGGTCCTCTTATTTTTCTACTAGTAAAACTCTTTTTTTTGCATTTTTTACTTCACTATGATGTTTGAAAATACCCAATTCACTTAAGAACCTTGTACAGCCTGGGAATCTTACTTCATTTCTTCATAATGGCTTCCAAAGTGGAAAAACTCAATTTTACAAAGGTCTTTAATCTTCTATAAAAATTCCTAAAAAATTCTGAATAAATTCTAAATAAATTCTAAATAAATTCTAAAAAATCATGTAATATTTTTATAATAATAAAATCTATTTAAGACTATATTTTTCTATCGTAGTGATTTTTTATGATAATAAAATCAATTTACATCTACTAAAATACTCGTATTTTCTATATAATTAACTAAAAAGACATGATATTTTCTTCATGCTTCTTCTAACTACTAACTAATCATTGATAGGATTTTTATAAGTAATAATTATAGATAGGAGAAAAATAAAGATATTGATTTTAATAACTAATCTTTAATACTTAACAATAAATAAAAATACAAAATTAACTAAGATAATTGCCTCCAAGACTTACTAAAATTCTACTTTTATGACTTTTCTTCTAATAAGAATTTTGTACTTATAAATACTTCTAAATTCTAATAAATAATTGAATAGTCAAAAAACTCTCTAATTTTAATATTTATATAATAAAATAATTTAAAACTATATTTTAAATCAATCTACTAATTAAAATGAATTGATGGAACTCACTAGGATCTTCAAATTAAATTGACAAGATTAGAAGAAAAGACTTCTAAAAATAATTTGAAGACTATTTTTAAATAAGACTATATATAAAGATATATTTGATATAATGATTCTTATCATACTAAGAAGGATTGCAATGAATTTAATAAAATGGAGCATCAAAAAGATGATCATGAATATGATATCCCAAGTACAGCATGAGAGCCAGGTTGGTTAGAGACATTACAATGCGGCACAGAGAAGGTCAAGGTAGTGATAGAGAGCTTACGTTGGATGGGACCATGAAGAGTGGGTTATGTGGAAGAGTCAGTGGCACAGGGTATGAAGGCACTAATAATGTCCTAAAATCCATAGAGAGCACAACTTCCAAAGTGGCCGAGCTAGGGATTGGTTTGATTTTAGCCAAAGAAGAACAAATAGCCTCAAGTGGATTTGGCAAGTGAAAATGCAACGTCAAAGGAGGAACACTAATAGGCATTGATTGTGTAGCAATATGAGTAGGCAGATTAGGGGCCTATAAAGTGGGAAAGGGTGCCATTGCCAAGGGTGAAAACAATGACAAAGGGGCTCCAGTAGTTGGAATTGGCGGCAGGGTGGAAGAAGCAAATAGAAATAATCCGTTGATGTGATAAAAGCTAGAGTTGGCGTGGAGGACAACATCAGGTAAGGGGTTGAGTGGAATATGAATGTAGTGAAGAGAATTCTCTTCTCAAAATATAACATCCTGTGGAACAAGGATGGCACCAAGGTGAACTTGTTGGACTTTGTAGCCCTTGCTAACCAAACTATATCCAAGAAAAATGCATGCTTGAGTCTTTTCATCAAGCTTGACAGAAAGTAGATCAAGGATCTTTGCAAAACATCTACTTTCAAATACACAAATGTGAACTATATTAGGTTTTTTTTTGTGCCATAATTCAAATCGAGTGGTATAAAGAGGAATAGTTTTTCTTAGAAGTTGGTTTTGAAGATAAGCCGTACAAGTGACTGCTTCATTCCAATATGGCTTGGATAGATGAGCCTAGTGAAGCATGCACTGGATAGAGTTGAAAAAGTGTGCAATTCTTGCATGCAATAACACTATTTTGGCATAGTATATAAGTTGTGATAAATTGGCACTAAATTTTGCATGTTTTTGAGTATTGATTGAATTTGAAAGAGGAGGTGTTCTTCTCTTTAATTAAAATAGAAGGTGCAAAGCTTATAGCTAGTTTGATTTTCAATCCATGTGTGAAAGATTTTGAACATATAAAAGTATTCACTTGTTTGACTAAGGAATCAAAGCACTTTATATCTAGAAAAATTATTTATAAACATAATATAGTATTCATAGCCAAAAAATGTTGGTGTAGCTATGTAGCCGCTCAAGTCAAAATTAATTATTTAAGAGGTTGAATGGCTCTTGTACTAGCTTATTTTTCTGATTATATTTCTGATTATATGTTTGCTATGAAGGCATATTGAGTAAACAACATGAGAGATGGTCTTGAGATATAATCCAATGAAGGTGGAGGTGAAAACAAGCTACTATAGGCAAACACTCTTAAGGTGACTGAGCCAAAAATACCACAAGGTAATAAAAAATAGTCATTATCAAAGTATTTTGCCACAAGATAATAAACAATGCTTAATGATAAAGTATTTAGCCATTGACCATTGAAATTTCCACTTTTCCTTAGCCATAGATAGATAATGTTGTATTATTGCCAAGATGGACCTTATTGTCACTATATAAAAATGGTTTGAAGTTAATAAATTGATTTTTATCATATGTTAAGTGGTGTGTGGCTCCAGTATCAATGAACTACTATGTATCTTTTGTGGTTATTAGTGTAGGCAATTTTTTCAAGCAAAAAGCTTATGTATGATATACAAAGGTATAAGAAGCGAGAGATGATTCTGCTACTTGTTCTTGCTTCCACGTAGGTGTATTTTTCCTATTTTCATGATTTGTCGTTGCTAAATTTATAGCAACTTTGATTTTATTTTTAAAACACTTGGAACCCAAAAGTTTCATTTTCTTCCAAAGAAAGCAAGGTATTATAGGTTTATTACAAGGTTTTGAAAGCTTATGGTCTTTTGGATTGATTTGTAAGGTTGCTATTTGGTCTTTCTTTTGAGTCCTACAAAGAAGACATGTCAGTCAGAAGAAGAGCCTTTCATAGTTGTTTCTTCTTGTTGGAGGATTACAATCAATTTTGGAAGTGTTGAAGTCTTCATTGTATAGCATTTGGATCATGGTGCCATATTGTGATGGCATGGACCTCATAAGAGTGAGAATTTTCATTTGAGAGGATATGATAACTCCTACAGATTGGCATTGTTGAAGAAAATTCTTGAAGTTATGTATATGTTGGGTTACTGATTTTCTAACTTTTATCTTTTGTGTGATGAATTTTTCTTGTAGATGGGTTTGAGTGACTTGTGGAGTATGTATTTTCAAGGACTAGTCATGCTTCATTGGCTATCTAGCATGATTTGACATGAAAAAAAATCAAATTTTCTACACAATCCCAAATTGTTCTTAGAGCAACCTGATCCTTCTTTTTCCCAGTAAAGATTTCAGTTCTATTGGTTGGTGGTGATGTTTCTGTTGCATTCATGTCTTGAACTTGTGTTGGTTCTTTTTCTTTACTTGAAACTACATCCCACATATTTTCCATTTCAAACTTCATCTGGATCATTTTCTTCTAGATGGAGTACCATGAGCCATCCAATTTGGGCCATTTTTCTGTGGCAAGTCTGCTTGTTGCCATGTTTCTTTTAAGACAAAAAGGAGGATTTGCTAGTGCCCCAACTTTCTATGCAGAACGTCTTCTACAAAGCCTCCTTTATTTCTTTCACTATTTATTGTGTTTCTGAGTTTTGTACCATAAAAAAATTTCAGAGCTTCACTCTGATACCATATTAGAACTAGGTGAATTAGAGAATTGTTTGATACTTGTTATTAATTGAGTAATAATGAGTGTGTATATTGTACTCCTGTAAAGGAAGGAGCGACTGAAACAGGATACAGAATCCATGTCCAACAAGAATGCCAGCGTCGTCTGTGACTTCATCAGGTGTGTTTGTGGAATCTGATAATCCAGAGACTTACGTCGTTGCAGCAATGCCCTTCCCTTCGATGCTTCCTTTTGGAGCGATCAAAATGCCCCGTATTCTGTCTTCGGCCGACGAGCAGCTCCCAAAGCCAACAATAAACACAACCTGCTACAGTCATTTCCAAGCCCCCGCGCAATCCGGAAAATATCACACACCTACATGAAGCACACGTGATGCATAGGCACCAAACAGTTTGTGAGGCTCAAATCGGCGGAGGGTGGTGTTAAAAAGAGAAGATTAAAATGTGGATAAAAAAGTTGGAAGATCTGTAATATGTAAACCACAATGAGTGAGGTACATTGCTGAAAGATGCTTATGATCGAGCCACAACAGGCACTCGCATATTAATATCTCATTGGAACGACAAGAACACAGGAACGAACAGCCCCAGCAGTGACTTTATTCGAACCTGTATTTTACTTCACAAGATGGTGCACGAGATTGACAACCGTCCAGCGCTCAGTCATTGGACCCTGCTGTGCCAACAGATTCTTGACTACTTCGCCTACGTTGAATCGAATCAGTGAAACCACCTTAACTTTCGTGACAAACTTCGTAATGTACACCTCACACACATATTACAAACGAAGCGGATTACAACGTGTCCACAACACAAACAAAGCCAACAGACTTTTGTTGATAAACCCAGAACTACCCAAACTCCAGATGACCTCGCGCAATGCCAATCAAACTCGAAGTTAGCCAAATGAAGCGAAACATAAATATTATTTTTTTATGTGAAAAACCACATCAACTACAACTACATTTGTTCGATCTATAGCAGTGAGACGATCCCTTCCTGGATACTCGCCGCCTCCTTCATCTTGTGGTTTATCAACTACCTATCGTCTGTGCTTTACCTACCTTGAGGGTCGATTAACTGAGAGAATGTGGCGCTCGCCGATTGGTCTTCAGAGGAGGTCTCCTCCAGCATTCTTCGTTCTATGTGCATCGTCAACGAGTCATCGAAAAGGTTGGGCACAACCAGCGGCACGGAGATCATGTGGCTGTTATCAGAGTCGGTGCTGAAGTTTTCTTGATCAAGGCTGGACATGGCGCCCTTCACAGATGCTTCATGTAGTTGCAAGGCGTACTCCAAATTCCACAGGACGTCACCCATGGAAGGTCGATCGATACCTTGCTCCTGCAGACATTTCTCGACGGTGTCGCCGAATGTTTTCAACGAGTCGGGGTTGATTGTATCCCGCAGCTTCTCATCCACGATCTGATCCAGCATGCCAGCTTTGTAGTACTTGATTGCCCAGTCTGCCAAGTTCACCTCCTCTCGAGGAAGGGCCGGATTGATTGCCGGTCGTGCACTCAGCACCTCCATGAGAACGACACCGAAGGAGTACACGTCTGACTTCTCCGTCAGCTGCTGTCTGCGGAAATACTCGGGATCCAGGTACCCGAAGCTGCCCTTCACGGCTGTGCTCACGTGCGTGACTTCATTCGCGGGCCCGATTTTCGACAACCCGAAGTCAGCCACCTTGGCAACGAAGTTCTCGTCCAGAAGGATGTTCGTGGTTTTCACATCCCTGTGAATGATCCCTTGCGCCGCGCCGGTGTGTAGGTAATGCAATCCTCGTGCTGCACCGATACAAATCTCCAGCCTCTGCTTCCACGACAGAGGAGCCTCGTCTGTTCCATACAGGTGACCCCTGAGCGGACCGTTGGCCATGTAATCATATACAAGAATCATCTCACCGTGTTCCTCGCAGTACCCTATCAGTGACACCAGGTGCCGATGTCGGAGTTTCGACAGAAGCTCTATCTCGGTTTGGAACTCGTTTAGACCCTGCTCTGACCTGGGGTTTCCCCGCTTCACCGCCACTTTCGACCCATCATCAGTCTCACCCTTGTACACCTTGCCGAATCCACCCACTCCCAAAACCAAAGACTCGTCGAAGTTGTTCGTGGCTTCTTGGAGCTCCGCGAAGCTGAAGTACCTGCCCAGGTTGGATGGAACTGAAGAAACATAACTTCCTGCACCACTCTTCCCACTCTTCGCCGAACTAGTCGACACTTTGCTGTGGTCAGTACTGCTGCCGTGCAGAGGCAGCGGGAGCCAATGACTTGGTGCGCCAGGCTTGTCAGACTTGGTCTTCTTCTTGTAGCAACAAAAGATGACCAACGCAGCCGCCGCAAGAACGGCGGCTACGCCTCCGATGGACGCACCGATGATGGCACCTAAGTTGGAGCTCGAGCTTGAATTTGTAGTTTGTGTACCACCAGAGGTAGTGTTTGGCTCTATAATACGGTTGGGACCTGCAAGACTGGAGTTCGCGTTGTTAACCTTGAAAATCTCCAGACCATTCAACAGAACATTCTTGGCATTTGGATTACTACGGTCAGGGGCGATCCTAACATTTATTTTCGGATAGGTATTGATCATGGGCACCATGAAGTCTCTGTACAAGGGAGTGTAGGCAGCTCCGGCTTCTTCTATGATGTCGAAAAATTGGTAAATGGCTACACGGTTTATCTCAATAATGAAAACCCGCTCATAGAGCCGCTGGTACTGAAGCTCGCAGAAGTGCAAACGCACCAAGTAAGTGAAGTTGTTGTCGACTGTGAAATTCCAGTTGAGTGCAGCATTTGCGTTCGCCACATCATTATCTTCCAACGCTTGCCCGCTCGCATAAACGGTAGCAGGAGCAATATATCTTTCTCAGACCAAAAGAAAAGCGCACCCGTCAGAGTTAATGGCTCATGTCTCCAACTGTACAAACTTCTGGCAACTGCACCATAATGATGCAAATCGTAGA